ACTAGAAACCGAGCGAAAAGCTTTCAGATGCTCTTGTTTGAGAAGGAAAGAGAACCCCTCACAGAGTACTAGAAAGTTTAAGAACATAAGCTCGCTGATTCCTACTTAGATTGGATGTAATTATGCGATTTACTTATTGTGTCTATATTTAATCAAATCACTGAGGCCGATCAATGGGCAGTGGATCGTGAACAATTATTACGCTAATCAATCATTTTATGATTTAATCTATGCCTCCACAGCATAGGTAAAATATAGACTGGAGCATTGGACCCTTGGACCATTGGACTATTTCTTGGACTATTTTTTTGGACCAATTTTTGGACCATTTTTTGGACTTTTTTATTTTAAAGGAGCAATTTTTCTTTCACTTAGCCGATGCATTGATTATATTCATTAAATCCACACAAATGCAAATTACAGAATTACTTTACAACACAAGGTTCACAAGCGGACATAAAACTGAAGATTGTCACTCGCTTGTGATACACTTAAATGAACTTTCTCATGATATGTTTTAAGAAAGCAATCACGGAAACATACGCAGAATTACAAGTCAGAAAAAATTACTTTACACTATATACAGATTTTAAAAGTTTATTACATCGCTTGTCCGTCTTCTCAGAACTCATCAGCTACTTCCGGCCCAGTGCAGTTATATCTCACTAATTAAGAAAGACCATGCATACACAGTTTGTTAACAAGTCTACAGCACATATTCCAATGTAAAAGCAAGGGTAAATTGGCGCCAAAATGTGTTACACTCCTATACATGTAAGCATGTGTTTGAAGATGTGCTTTGTGAACTATCAACGCAAATAAGCTACAAATTTTACAAATACAAAGCTTTAGAAATCATCATTGATATCTACCATAGATAAAAAATAATCAGCTAGGTAGAAGTGGCCATTGCACAACGTGCTGGCGCGGAATCTAGAACCTGTAATGTATTAGAACAACTGGTAACGATATTCGCGCCGCAATTTGAAATTCATTGCGTGATGTACTATGTACTAAAAATAGTGGCTTGTAGCTACGTAAGTAGTTAACATTCCCCAGACATCCAGCCAAATACTTAGGTTTCTATTCACAAGAGAAGCTAAGTGCTTACTATCGGGCAATTGACGAATGGCCGTGAATCAGAAAGCTGAAAGAGTTTATAACGCACTTGAGTCCACAAAAGGTTTTCCGCTATGACCCATAAATTTTTCGAGGATCGCGAACTTTATTAATCTTTTAAAAATAAATTCGAGCTTACCTATTCAAAATTGCCCTCGAGATAAGATTATTGCCTAGAAAACTTCACATACAGCAGTGTGCCTTTAACTCACACCATACACATCCGTTTCAAGCAGTCCGCTGATCTCATGTATTAAGGAAAGAGGAAATGAGCCTTTGCGTAACGTTTTGTGGAATGACCCTGACAAACAATCTTTCTGTTACATTCCAAGTCCGTTTCTGAAAGTTCCTCATGCATTGTAATTAAAATATTTTTGCAATAACTTACTATAATTGTGAATTTCAAAGAAAACGATAAATGATACCTCACTTTTATGATACGAGAATGCGTAAATTGGATTTTTGTACTTTGCATGTTTGTACTTTTGACTTACAAATCATGTTTGATTCAATCAATTATCTCCCAAGACTCCCAGTTTCGGTTTCCGAGGTCTCGCCAAATCATTCTTTTCTCTGTTTCATTCTGCTCAGTATAAGAAGGTGAATGTCTCAATATCCGAGCTAGACATTTTCCCGAATGAATACTCAGGCTGGAATGAAAATTTGAAAGGTCATACATTTTGCTTAACACGGTAACTTAGCTTAAGTTTTCGTACACAACAGTATTTAAAACAAAAAGAACAATAGAATCACAATTGGACACCCCTGTTGAAGTCCTAAATGTAATAACTGTCCTAAATGTAATAAAGTCCTAAATGTAATAACATTTGGTCCTAAATGTAATAAAGCCCTAAATGTAATAACGTTAGGTCCTAAATGTAATAAGCCTCCAATGCAATCGTTTAACTGTGCTAACATTGAGATGTTAAAGTGACAGCTGTTGCACCAAAGAATCCTCTGACCTGTATTCATGGCATATTGCGGGCTCGCTGATATTAATCAGGGTCTTTTTATTTGCTAAAGACGTAGCTTGAGAAGCATTGGCTACAAAACCTTATACTGATGTGCTTTTGGCATCAAATTAACGGACGCAAAAGCA